GGGGGGGGAATCGCCAGCCCAACTTTCCTGAACAACTTCTCACCAATACAGTTTTTAATTTTCTTAAAACTCCTTCCTAACTATTTTCTTTAAGAAAATCCATCAAGATCACCCCTTTTGGACTCTCTAAAATAAGATAAATAGCTTTCTGAGCTAATCTGCCTTGAATTTAACTAGCTTAGCAGATTGCCTCAGTACCACTGTTTGGACAGGGCCTCTTTTTGAAAGCATTCTTTTGAGACTAATTTACCGGCAGTTATGTCCTGATTGCAGAGACATGTTTAAACACACTTCATTAGGAATAAACACATACCTCTATGAACTGGAACCCTAGAAATATTTTTACAGATATGTAGATATGGATGTGTGTGTGTGTGTGCATATACAATCTAGGCTTGTTCACTGGAGGCATCTAAATAAATCATCTTTATCAGTTTCCATACAATTCTTTACTGACATTTGCTGATTTCAGAGTACTCAGCAAGTGCAAATTAGGCTAGGAAATGGTAGAAAAGTCAAAGAAAATACTAGACTTGAGCTCAAATCCTAGTCCTTCTCTTTAATTTTATGACATCAGCAGAGAAGGTAACTGATGTTTCTAATATTAGTTTCATCACCTGTAAAATAGAAACCAGAAAATTTGCCTCGCAGAACTGTTTTAAGAATTACATGAGATACTGCATGGCTTAACATCTATCAGTATATCAGACACACAACTGATCAAACATTTAAGTAATAAATTTGAATCTATTCACTAGGAAAGATAGTTTACTTTTCAAGACTCACAATTTAAAAAGATATAATAACTTTAAAAGAGAATTAGGACCTACAGGAAGCAATATCAGCTAACCTAGAAAAAGAAAAAATAACAGCATTTTAATTTGTCACCTTCTAAGACAACTAAGGTAAAATTAAATGAAGGGCTAAAAGCTGTGATGAAATAAGAATATCTTGTATATATTATTTAAGATTAGAGATCAAAATAGACATTATGAAATGAGAATAAACAGCTTTTATAATAGATTATATCAGTATGTAATGGTGATCTTATCTAGAGATTTAGTAAGCTCTCAAATCTGTCTTAGATTGAGAATTCCAAGGAGGTGCAGACATAGGTCGTACTTGGGAAACTTGAAGTCCTGTATACCATCAGCTGCCAAGATTCATGAGGAGCCCTGGTAGACCAATTGTTTGGCACTCAGCTTCTAATGAAAAGGTTGGTACTTGTAACCTACGCAGTGGAGTAGCTCCTCTACAGGATAAAGACCTTGCAATCTGCTCCTTTCAAGACCACAGGCTAGAAAACCCTACAACATACTTCTACTCTGTCTTGTAGGGTCACTATGAGTTGAAATCAATTGGAAGACACCTAAACACAGCAACTAAGATCCCATATAACCTATGAAAGTAACAATGGGCTTCAGTTTCATCATTTGAAAAATTAGGAATTTGATCATGAGTCTAAGTTAGATAAAATAACGATTATACTTTAATCTGGTTTGTGGCTGACATCTGTGGCAAGAACATAAAAAGAAGGCCAGGGGAAACATCAAAGATTATTAAGATTACTTACAGTGAAGCAGTGAAGAGGTACTAATTAAATATACAATAAATTATGACTCTGATATAATAAGTAGTATGCCAAGTAGTCTGAAATTTTTAAGCAGCTTGGCAAGTTGTTTACAACCTCGAAATAGCCTAACTATCTAGGTCACTAATCTATGGAAGTGTAATCAAGGAATAATTACATATTCTAATGTATGATAACCAAAATATCTTATCACTCATGCTTACAGTTTGAAGGTCATTTTAAAAAACAGCACAGAAATCTTTAACATGAGCTTCACCTAGGACAATAAAAGTATCTGTGTTCACAGAGCATAAGGAAATTAAGAAGAAGAATAAATGATAAAATGTGGTACATTGTACAGGAATTAATTATAATTTATTCCTGATAAACCAACCAAGTTTTCTACTAGATAAATGTATATGATTTATATCTACCTACTGTAATATTTACAAAATTACTTGAAATTTTCATTTAAAAAATTAACTCACTAAAGATAAGTATTTTATGACACAGTATATACTAGAAATTAGGTAATCGAGACCCACCTGCTTACTGAAATGAACAGAGATGACACCCTATGCATATATGGTATATAGTGGTGGCCATCTTAGAAAAAGAATTGGATAGTTACATAATCCTGTGCCTATGTGAGGACATTCAGAGCGAAGGGGTGGAATCTAGGCTCTCAATCAGGTCACAGCCTAAGGATGTCTCCTTGTGGGCATGGTCTTCTCATGAGGATTCTGGGAACTTTCTCTCTTTCCCTGGGGAGGTGGGCCATACTCTGTTTCACCTTCCGCTAGCAAGACTCTCACAAACCTGGAGGAGCCAAGTGGAGATCCGCACTAGCGCTTAGATGCTGCCACTGCCATTGGATCCACAAGACGCTGCACCCACTGGCCTGTGATTGTCCTGCATTTTGCATCATTGCATGTGCTGCATAAGTCTGAAGTGGAACTCATGGGTTAATATCAGATTTATAGGCTGATATCAGACTTATGGACTGATATCAGACTTATGGACTTGATTTGTACTGGGCTGGGATGTTTTTTCAATATATAATTGCTCTTTGATATAAAACTCTCTTTTACACACATGGGTATCAATTAATTTGTTTCTCTAGTCAACCCGGCCTAATATAGGAATCAAATTAATCTTATTTATGTGAACTAAAATCAATTTTTAACCTATATTCTGACACTAAGAAATTAAAAGACTTAATACTAAAAGGTTTTGCTGAAAGTTATCAGAACTAAATAATTTTTAAGTGTTTCCCATATAAGACTTTAATTTTTTAGTTTTGTTTTGAGGGGGGAAAGTATTAATGCTCCCTTTTATTCTCTCCCCGAACAAGAGAAAACTAAAAATGTTATATGAAAGAAAATTTTCCTCTAAAGTCTGTGTTTTGCTATAATGAATTCAGACAGAAGGCCAATGAATGTGGAATAATGAAATAAATAAACTCTATGAAGCTCTTACGTGATGGAGGAAATAAACAGTTTTATCAAAAGTAAATCATGTTGCTGTTTTTTTGGTGCCACTGAGTCGGTTCTGATTCATGACCCTATGTACAACAGAATGAAACCCTACCCTGGGTCCTGAGCCTGCTCACAGCTGTTAGGTGTGAGCCCATTGGTACAGTTACTATGGACATCCATCTTGTTGAATGTCTTCCTCTTTTTTACTGCCCTGCTACTTTACCTTCTACATCGCAGATAGATGCATGATGTCTTTGTACAGGAACTGGTCTTTCCTGACAACAGGTCCAGAGTCTCACCATACTAAGAAGCATTCTGGCCCTCCTTCTTCAAGACAGATTTGTTAGTTCTTTTGGCAGTCCGTGGCACTTTCAACATTCTTCACCAGCGCCAGGATTTAAATGCATCAATGCTTCTTTGGTCTTCTGTTTTCTATGTTCAACTTTTACAGGCATAGGAGAAAATTGAAAATTTCCTGGTTTGGGTCAGGGACACCTTAGTACTCAAAATAACATCCTTGCTTTTCAACACTTTAAAGAGGTCTTGTACAACAGATTTACACAATGAAATGTGTCATTTTATCTCTTGACTGCTGCTTCCATGAGCAGTGATTGTGGATCCAGGCAAGATGAAATCCTTGACAACTTCAATCTTTTCTCCATTTATCATGGACTATTGGTCCAGTTGTGAAGATTGGGATTTTTCTTTACATTGATTTGTAATCCAAAAATTCTAATAGTTAAGTCAAGAAATGTCCAACTTCAAAACAGATGCACATTTAATATTTTGAAGCAAACACAACTTCATCTACTCTAATTTTTAATGAGACAATTTACAACTATTATGTGAAAAATAATCAGCAGCTGACTCATTAAACCTAAGTTTAATGATATCTACTTTCACTCAATTAGTACACTCACTTACTTTTGCTAATTAAATATCTATCAATATGAATCTTAGTTTATGAAATTGATTGCATCAACTCTGAGCACATATAGAAGGATAAATAGGATGGGGAAAAGAGTAGAATGAAACAACTGCAATATTTTTGTCCATGTTATTCATTTATAAATATTCAAAGCCTTATGAATGTTCTAGAAATGCAAACAGAAAATATGCCAGTTGCATACTAATTAGTACATTCCACATACTAACTTCTCAATATTTGTTTTCTTACAACAGTCATTCATAGTCCAATTACATTCAATATTGTACTTGTATTTTTCTACAGATTATATTCCATTATCAAATGTGAGAAAAACTTTATAAAAAGGAATTTAAAACTTCAAAATAATTATTATTAAATTTTTATAAAACAAGGAAGATATTCTGACAATGAAGAAAATTACCTGACAAGCAATCTGTACGAGGTAGACGAGCTCTTTAGATTCACAACCATTCTTCATTACTTCATTTTGTTCTTCTGAAAGGGAAAGCTGTACCAGAAGGGCAGAAGAGAGGGAGAGAAATGCATAGTTATGAGCAAAAATAAACAAAACCTTAAACAATAGCAACTTAACATAAGGCATGTCTTATATTAGAACTTTATTGCTTAGGACATATAAATGATGGATTCAGGATTATAAAAACTACGTTTCTAAGAACTGTCTTTTTAATTTATAAGAAAACTGGAATGAATAAAAACCTATTTATTCAAGAACAGGTGTTCATTTCCTTAATTTACTAATGTGAAACATGGAAACTAAAGAGACACTGAGAGTGTTCTAATGGAGCTAAGACTCAGTTAAAGACATTGTAGCCTGTAGGTCAGAAGCCAAGTTTATCATGCAAATATGTTCATTTCAAATTCATTTTCTGGACCTGCACAGTGAATTTCAATATTTTTATTTGAGCCAAAAGTTAACATTTAAACTTAAATCCTCATTAAAAAAGATTGTTTCCTTTTATTAAAAAATGGGAAATTCTGAAATATGAGGCATCAAATCTTCAGAAGATTGCCACACCGACTCTATTACTTTTTTCTTTTCCACCAACACCATGGGTTTACTGTTAGCTATTTTCACCATGCTTCTGGCTTTGTTATTTTATTTTATTTTTTACATATGCACACTTAAATGTTTATTGCAGCAATTTCTACAGTAACGAAAACATGGAAACAAAGCAAAAATAATGCAAAAACCTCAACTAAAGGGAAATTGATTAACAAGCTCTGGTACATTCATACTGTGGAACTTTATGTATCAATTAAAAAATATTGATAACTTTCTTAAACATTGCAAGATGTATACAAAAATAGAACATATTGCTCAGCAAAATTTTCTCTCAAGATTACCATAATTCTAGCCAACATTGAGAGATCTTCTGGCTTCTTAGACTTTACTTAAACAATGTGTGTTTACCCTGTTGTCTTTCCTTTGGAGCCCTGGTGCCATAAAGGGTTATGTGTTGGGAGAAAGAGGCTTTCTACTCCTTTAAAGATTTATAGTATCTGAAACCCATAGGGGAAGTTCTGCTCTGTTCTATAAGGTCAATGGCAGTCAGAATAGACTCTGTTTTATTGGAAAGTAATTTAAATACAATATAATTCAATAGTTCAATCATATCACAGAGAATCGTACAATCACCCCCACATCAATTTTAGAACATTCCCCTCTCCCATGGTCAAATCGCCTTTAAGATGATTCAGCAATCACAATCCATTCTAGTGCTCTCTCCCATCTTCATTATTTACTCCCGAAATTCCCTTTCTCTGCCCTTTCGTCCACCCCTACCCTTTTATTCCATATATCCCCTTGTATCCGTTATTATCATTCTGCATCCACTCCTCCTGTGCTTCACAACTGGGAGACTCAACAGAAAACAATAAAAAAAGAAACCCAAAATCATGCTAAGGTGGTAAGGATAAAAACATAACAGTATAAAGAAAAACCACAAATAATGTGTAAGAAGGAAAAGACCCCCAACAACATTCAAAAGGCCAAGGAAAACATTTCTGTTATGGAACCAGTAGGAGACACTTGCACCCAGAATAAATTTAGGTCATGTCTATAGGGAGGTCAAAGGTCAAGTATCGAGTTGGATCCAGCATGATGAAGATTACAATGATCTTTACCTGACAATAAGGCTGTTCAAGACTCTTGCCTGTGGCTACAGGTGAACCGCCAGTGGCTCAGTCTGACTAAATACTCTACAAATGGGTTTTGGCTCACACTGTCCATCGCTCCCCACAAATTGGGTGTTCATAATTTTAGCTCTGAAACTTTTCTCCTAACCATATTCGAATTTTGTAATTGTCATCTTTGGATCATACAAACTGGCATGCTTCTTCCATGTCTATTCAAGTCACTTATTTATATATCACTCATTTATATAGTATGCTAGAGGCAGTCAAACTTAAGTTCAACAGGGTCAAAAACTGACTAAACAAGCTGGAACTCAATACTTAATCAGTCATAAAGAAAGAATATTGAAAACTTTTCTTCAGGTTCATGAGTATTAAATGAGATAATATATGTAAAGTGTTTGCCAAGATACCTGGCACTGAGTAAGTGCTTAATAAATGTTTTCTATTATTATAGCTAATATTATAAGAAACACAAAGCTTTTTTTAATTAAATACCTTTATTGGGGGCTCTTATATCTTTTATCACAATCCATACATTCATCCATTGTGTCAAGCACATTTGTACATATGTTGCCATCATCATTTTCAAAGCATTTTCTTTTTTTTTTTT